GTGTGTGTGTGTGTGTGTGTGTGTGTGTGTGTGTGTGTGTGTGTGTGTGTGTGTGTGTGTGTGTGTACTTGTCTTGACTACAGGGTGAGGACTGTGCTATAGTTACTATCAAAGTGAGGTCTTTGATGTAAAATGAGGACCGCTTCAATGTTTGCAGCTTTACTGGTTAGGTTTAGAGGTATGGTGTGAGTAAAGCTTTAGTTCAGATTAGGGTTAACTTTAGACCAGTAATGGTTAATTTTAGGGAAAATATCTGGTTTAGGCATAAACACAGTTACAAAAATGAATGGAAGTCGATACAAAGTCCTCAGTTTGATGCAAATACAAGGATATGTGTGTGTGTGTGGTTGTGTTTACATCTGTTTAACGTGGTCACTGGTGGACTTTAGTTYACACTAAGAGTGCAGAGTTTGTCTCTGCTTCCTAGTTTTCCTACATTAAAAACGCAGAACCATTTATTATTCATCATGTTTTAGAGATGCTGATGTTTAAAACAGGATTGAAAGAAATGTGTCTGTTCAACAGGATCAGCTTGCAGCAGACATGTACAGTTTTTTCTCGAAAGAAGGCGACTATGCCCACTACTTTGTGACGGTGAGTGTCAACGAGTCAGAAATGTTTGAGCATGAGTTCATGTGGGAATGTTTGCAGCTGCAGGATTACAAGGGAACAGAGACTTGGCTGGCCAAAATATTTACTTTGCTGTTGCTCTTATTCTTATTCAGCCCGATCATTCCTCTCCCTCTCGTCTCCGCAGCTCTTAGAAGCTCAGGCTGATTACCACAGGAGATCTCTTACTGTCCTGGAGAGTGTCTTACCCACCATCCAGGCTCAGCAAGGTAATATCTGTGCAAACAGAAGTAACACAATACTGCTGTCATAAGCATCATCTGTAGCATCCTACCTGAAACTTTTAGACACTTTCAGCAGTCAGTTCAGGTCTTTAATTAAACCCTAAATGAGCGTCAGATGTTAAATAATAATTAATTTTTTCTTTTCATACAGTTTTTCTCTTTTCTTTGTCACTGTTCAGCTTTTCTCTCTTGCTGTTTTTTGTTCAATTAGCTTTTTTTTCTCTCTTTCCCCCCAACTAAACACATGTGGTCTTAACCCAATAAGCCCGGTCTCCCAGCATGTGGCGATGACTCATAAACTCCACGCACACACACACACACACACACACGCGCACACACACACACACACTCTTACATCAAACCCACCTGGATTTTCCAAGTCTAGTCCCCCCCAACTTCTTCACACGTCTCTTCTGCAAACAGACTCACAAACTTGAAGCGACGGCTGCAAAGACACTTCTGATGCCTGTGAGCATGTGGTTGCTATTTGAAGCCTCTCTGTGGAGAATATTCAGACTGTTTAGGTTAAAAAAAAGACAAAGAAAAACATCTCAGAGGATTTCTAAACCCAGAAATCTGCCGTGCAAACTACTACCAGGACTTTTAAATCTGACATACAGTTCCTAAAAATACAACAGCCCGTTTTAAAGATTCTGTTTCGTCTCATTTATGCTTTTCTCTGCCTTTTTAAAAATGAATATTATATATATTTTTGAATTTAGACTCATGGATGGAGAAGCCGGCGTTTGGCACTGCTCTGGACGATCATCTGAAAAGAAGTGGACGAGAGATTGCTCTGCCCATAGAGGCCTGTGTCATGATGCTTCTAGAGACAGGCATGAAGGAGGAGGTGAGGAAACGGAGTAAAAATAAGGTCTAAATTCACAATCTGCTGTGTTATAGCATCCTTTGTAATTATTCTGCAAAAAAGGAGGCATTGAAAACCCATTTGGTTTAAATGGAGTTGTAGGGCTCTAAAACGCGGACAGAATCGTGGAATTGACCAAACAAAATGGAATTCCGTGTAAAAACACGGAATGTCATGGAATTCGGTTATTTGGGCGTGTTTCTGAGGTATTTTGGCCACTGCCGCTCCCTGTACCAGCTGTTACCTGGTAACAGGCATGCGGGGTGAGCTCTGACTGAGCGTATATTTATATATACACTCACCGGCCACTTTATTAGGTACACCTGTCCAAC